CCGGTGTTCGCCCCAATCCCCAGCCCCGCACGCAGCACCTCCGCGACAGGGCCCCCGTTCAGTGCAGGATTCAAGTTCTCTTGCGGTTGCGCCGGCGCCGCGGGTGCCTGCATCGAAAAGATCACATGAGCGCTCTGTACACGGGAAGCGGACGAAAAGCGGAGAGAAACGGGGAGGGAGAAGGGAGCGAAGGAAGCGAAGGAAGCGCGCCTACCTCGCTCGCAAAGGGGCTGCTCGCGAACGGATTCGCGCCGAGCAGCTCCGGGATCCGCGCGGTGTGCACGCTCGTGTACCCGCCGCCAAAGTGCGCGGGCGACACGCCCGAGACGCCGCCCCAGAACGCGCCCGAGGCGCCGACGTCCTTGAGCGGGTTCGCGCGCGGGAGCGGCGACGTGCGCCCGCTGCCGCTTGCTCCACTGGTGCTGGCGCTTGAGGGGGAGGCAGCGGACAACGAAGGGGAGGACGGGGAGGAGGAAGAGGAGGAGAGGAAGGAGGCGGAGGAGGAGAGGGAGGAGAGCGCGGGGAGGGGCGCGGGCGGGGGGAGGACGGGTGCGGGGCCGCGGTTGTCGAGGAGCGTGCGCTTGAGCGCGGCGATCTCTTGCCGTAGCGCGAGGTTCTCGCTCTGCGTGGACCCGAGCTCCGCGCGGATCGCGGAGAGGAGCCGGTCGCGCTCCGCGATGTTGTCTTCGAGGGTGGAGATGTACTCTGCAGCACAAAGAATCTCGTCAGCATGCCATTCTTGAAGGGGGGAAGACACAAAGAGAAAAAAAGAGGGACCCACCCTTGCGCCGGACGCGGAAGTTGCGCGCGCTGATCTTGTTGCGCAGCTGGCGCTTCTCCTTGCTGCTCATCTTCTGGAAAACCTCGGGTGGCGGGCGCCAGTCTGCGGGGAGGTCGTCGTCGTCGTCGTCATCGTCGCCCTTGGTGCTCGCCGCGCGCGGCTTGAACGTCGTCGACGGCATGAAGGCATTCGCGCCGAGGGTGTTTTCTTTGTTGAGCGCCGCAGAGGCAGAGGCAGACGCCTTCTTGATGCCGCCCGTGGCGACGGTGCCCTTACGTGCCTTGCCGTGGCCGCCGACCTTAACCGGTACGATGGCGTCCGCGGGCGGCGACGAGCTCGACGCCGGCGAAGTCGAATTGGGGCTGGCGCTGGAGTTGGAGGTGGAGGTGGGGCTGGTCGACGGATCCGAGTCAAAGTCGGCAAACACCGCGGGTGCGGGGGAGCCGACGAGCTGCGGGTCGATGCCCATCATCAAATCCGCTGCGCTCACTCCCCCTCCGCCGCCCCCACCCCCAGTACTGCTCCCAAAGGCACCGAAAAAGTCGTATGGGGCGCTGGAAAGCATGGAGAGCGGGTCGAGGGCCTTCACATCCTCGTCGAGGAAGTTGAAGAAGCTCGGTGTGGGCGAGCCCGAGGGGTCGTTGATGTCGGGGAACGACGCCGCGGGGATGCTCTGGGGGGGTGTGAGCAGATGAGGGGTGCTCTCGCGCGAGCCCGAAGACGACGAGGCTGCGCTGGATGAGCCCGAGGGAAAGAGCTCGGTGTGGAAGATGTCGTTCAGGTCCTGGGTGTAGTCGGTGAACGGCGGTGCGAACAGCGACGGCTGCATCTGGCTGTCGACTTGCATTGTCTGTGGGGTGGTGGTGGTGGTTAGTGGCAGAGTTTTCTTTTGCGGTGGGGGCGCCGCTGACTCAGCCGGCCCTTGTCTTGCGTGTGCCTGCGGCACAACAGCAGTCATCGGCTATCTCCGTCTTTGTTCTCCGAGATTCCACGCAGCAACCACCCTGTTTCCTTACGTCCCCTACATGCTCCGAGGGTGCCTCTTCGGCGTGGCCTCTCTTGTTGCCCTGTATCGTGTCCACCACTTACATACGCCTTCCCCCAAAGTTCTGCCCTCAGGGGTGAGTATCAATTCCGCAGCCAACTCGCCTCCACATTTGGCAGACTGCCATCTCGCCACCGCCCCACATCCAATGATCCATCAGCCGTAGATGACTGTACGTGTCCCACATAAAAGTCCTCCTCCGGCCACGTCCTAGGTCACCGATCTTTTTATTTGCCTTGTCATCTCCTCGGAGTCATCTGACTTGCTTCCTCTGTCCAAGTTCGCTATCCTCGAATGCCCTCCTCAACGCCTCCGGTTGGCCTCATCCGTCGAGCGGTTGTCATGCGAAGTACGCGTATCGCGAAACCATTACTTAACTTATCAGGGCCGCGGTTCAAATTTCAAACTAAGCGTGGCATGGTGATGCCCAACTTTTTTTCTCCAGCCACTGCATGTTCCGCATACAAATTTCATCTCCGAGCCAAGGTGCGTTCCTGCGCGCGGGTGATCTCCTCTTCCGGCAGTCCCGTCGGATTCGACGATAACGCTCACAATTATTTATGTAACGAACCGCTTTCCGTCCTTAAAGCCTCACACAAAGTCCTCGATATATCCGAGCTCAAAACTGGGTAAGGAAGCCTTTGTCGATTAATGGAAATTACCCTGTTCTGTTTCAGCCGCGATGAATCGCAAGAGAATTCTCAGGGAGACGAGGGTTCGAGTCCCTCCAAAGGCATTCACAGTCGGATTCGATGTTTTTTTGTCCGTCGAATCCCCGCCAAGTTCTGCAGTTATTTGGGCTGAACAGTAGGTAGGCAACCCTTTGTCGATTAATGGAAATCACTCTGTCCTGTTTCGCACGTTCCAAGATACTCGTCAGGGAGACGAGGGTTCGAGTCCCTCCAAATTAAAGGCATTAAGTGTCCTCCATGGTTTTTTGCCCTTATATCCTCGCAAAATCGCCAAGGTATCTGAGCTCTGAACAAGGTGGGCAAGCCTTTGTCGATTAATGGAAATCACTCTGTCCATCTTCGTGGTATATGACTCGTTCAACATCAGAGAGGCGAGGGTTCGAGTCCCTCCAAAGGCATTATGCTTTGCCATAATGTTTTTATTCCCCCCGCAAATCTACGCAAAGTCCAAATTTATCTGAGCTCTAAACAGGGTAGGCAGGCCTTTGTCGATTAATAGAAATCACCCTGTCCAGGTCAAATGGGACCGCACCACCGTGACATAATGGGTCTCAGGGAGACGAGGGTTCGAATCCCTCCAAAGGCATAACCGCGCTCGTTCTCCTTTTTTTCTGCTTCGAATCCTGACAAAGTCCTGCCTTTATCCGAGCTCTATACTGGGTAGGCAAGCCTTTGTTGATTAATGGAAATCATCCTGTCCAGCTGTCTTGACTTTATTCTTCAACATCAGGGAGATGAGGGTTCGAGTCCCTCCAAAGGCATTCAAGGTTGTCTATGCATTTTTATCCCTTGAATAATCCTCCTAGACTGTCCAATTTATTTGAGCTCAAAACTGGGTGTAGAAGCCTTTGTCGATTAGTGGAAATCACCCGGTCCTGTTCCGCCTGGGAACTCCTAAGATAATTGTCAGGGAGACGAGGGTTCGACTCCCTCCAAAGGCATTCGTTATTAGCCAGTCATCTTTTGCCCCTTGAATCCTTTTTATGATAAAAAGGATTTTATCTGCTTCGAACCTTTTATAGTACAGGTTTATTCGAGCTCAAAACTGGGTAAGGAAGCCTTTGTCGATTAATGGAAATCACCCTGTTCAGCTACATCAGTGAACATATGTATCGGTAATTCTCAGGGAGACGAGGGTTCGACTCCCTCCAAAGGCATTCAGAATCGGATTCATCGTTTTTTTGCCCGTCGAATCCCCGCCAAGTCCTGCAGTTATCTGAGCTAAACAGTGGGTAGGCAAGCCTCTGTCGATTAATAGAAATCACCCTGTACAGATGAGAGTGTGACTTGACATGAAATTGCTCTCAGGGAGACGAGGGTTCGACTCCCTCCAAAGGCATAATTAGGTTTCGAGACTTTTTTTTCTGCCTCGAACCTTTCATCAAAGTCCAGGTTTATACTCTGAACAGGGAAGGCAAGCCTTTGTCGATTAATGGAGATCACCTTGTCCATGTAAATGTGTCCGTTCCATTGAACAAGAAGACGAGGGTTCGACTCCTTCCAGAGGCATGTGTGTGCTTCACCGCTTTTTAAGTGTTCGTTCTGGCAAAATTGCTAAGTTATCTGAGCTCGAAGCTGGATAGGAAAGCCTTTGTCGATTAATGGAAATCACCCTGCCAGGCTGTCCAGTTATCGTGTAAACTTCCATAATTCTCAGGGGACGAGGGTTCGACTCCCTCCGAAGGCATTAGCTGTTGTTCTTGCATTTTTACCCCCTCCAATCCTCGGAAAGTCACAGACTTATTAATATTCGAGCTCGAAGCTGGATAGAGAAGCCTTTGTCGATTAATGGAAATCCCCCTGTTCAGTTAAATAAATTGACGTGCAGACTTGCATAATTCTCAGGGAGATGAGGGTTCGACTCCCTCCAAAGGCATCCTGCATTCGGTCGTTTTCTTTTCGCCCCTTAAATCCTCGCAATATCCTCGATTTATTCAAGCTCGAAACTGGGCAAGGAAGCCTTTGTCGATTAATGGAAATCACCCTGCCCAGCTGTTTTGGCAGTGAAGTACAGTTCTCAGGGAGACGAGGGTTCGACTCCCTCCAAAGGCATGTGAGTTCAGTGCTTTTTTTGCTGCTTCAAACCTTTAAAAGTCCAGGTTTATTCGAGCTCTAGAACTGGATAAAGAAGCCTTTGTCGATTAATGGAAACCACCCTGTTCAGTTAGTAAGTTATTGTGTCGACTTACATAATTCTCAGGGAGACGAGGGTTCGAGTCCCTCCGAAGGCATGAGCTTCTTGCAACTGGGTTCTTTTGGCTTCCGACCTTGCAAAATCACCAAGTTATCTGAGCTTTGAACGGGATAGACAAGCCTTTGTCAATTAATGGAAATCACCCTGTCCACGTGAGTGCTTCCGTTCGTTGAACGGGAAGACGAGGGTTCGACTCCCTCCAAAGGCATACTGCTTGCAACTGCTTTCTTTTTGGCTTCCAACCTTGCAAAATCACCCAGTTATCTGAGCTCTGAACAGGGTAGGCAAGCCTTTGTCGATTAATGGAAATCACCCTGTCCAGTTACATCGTTAAATTTGAATAACTCTCAGGGGGACAAGGGTTCGAATCCCTCCAAAGGCATGAACGGTCTCGTTACGACACCCTTTTTTTCCCCGCGAATAATCCTCACAGAATCCATAGTATATCCGTGCTCGGATTAGGTTTAGGAAGCCTTTGTCGATTAATGGAAATTGTTCTGTTCAGTTACACGAGAGATGTTGTGAAGTTCTCAGGGAAAGAGGGTTCGGCTCCCTCCAAAGGCATAGATAATCGGTTCCGAAGCTTTTTTTTTCTGCCTCGAACCTTTCATCAAAGTCCAGATTTATCGGAACTCTGAACAAGGCAGAGAAAGCTTTTGTCGATTAACGGAAATCACCCTGTCCAGCTGTCTTGTTCAACTTCGACATCAGGGAGATGGGGGTTCGACTCCCTCCAAAGGTATGCAATTTAAGTCCAGTGCGTTTTTCTGCTTCGAGCCCATCAAAGTCCAGATTTATCGGAGCTCTGAACAAGGCAGAGAAAGCCTTTGTCGATTAATGGAAGTCGCCCTGTCTAGATTAGCGTCGACGCCCATAAGCGGCATAATTCACTGGGAGACGAGGGTTCGACTCCCTCCGAAGGCATTCGATTTTATCTTTGAAGTTTTTGTCCCCCGAATCCTTCATTAAAATCCCAGGTTTATTCGAGCTCTGTACAGGGTAAGCAAGCCTTTGTCGATTAATGGAAATCACCCTGTCCAGGTCGCGGGCTAGCATACAAACTCTCAGGGAAACGAGGGTTCGACTCCCTCCAAAGGCATGAATGAGTTCAGTGTATTTTTTTCTGCCTCGAGCCTTTCAAAGTCCAGGTTTATTCGAGCTCAGGCTAGGTGCAGTAAGCCTTTGTCGATTAATGGAAATCATCCTGTCCAGGTAGAACAGGATACCGCATGGATCTCGGGGAGACAAGGGTTCGACTCCCTCCAAAGGCATAGCCACGTTCGTTCCTCTTTTTTTCTACTTCGAATCCTGACAAAGTCCTGGATTTATCTGAGCTCTAAACAGGGTAGGCAAGCTAAACAGGGTAGGCAAGCCTCTGTCGATTAATGAAAATCACCCTGTTCAGTTAATAAGCTATCGTATCGACTTGCATAATTCTCAGGAAGACGAGGTTCGAGTCCCTCCAAAGGCACGAGCCGCCTCTGTTCCCCCCCCCCCCCCCCCCCCCCAACCCTCTACTCCTTTCAAAGTCCTGGCTTTAACCGATCTCAGAACAAGGCAGGGGGAGACTTTGGCATCGGTCCACGGAAACACTGAGGAGTTGAACTGGGTACAAGTACAATTATTTCCGTCTACCCATTCTTGAACATCGCACGACTCCGACTCAGGAAGATCGGAAATGGTCCTGATAGTATTTCTTAGTGGCTTCTACGGCATCGTAACTCCCCAAGAAGGCTTGCTGCTCCTTCGCTACTCCCGCTGCTCAATTAATCCGCCGAGCTGTAGATTCACGGGAGACTCACATCTAGCATAAAGTCCTCTCTTCGACGGCTGTGTTGCCTGCTCTAGAGACTCCCTATTGACGAACTTGCCCCGTGGTTTGCGGAGCTCCTGGTACGCTGCTAGTCGTGCGGGGATGTCGGCCCTCGTAGTATCTATCGGGATCAAGCAGCCAATTGTAGCGGCATCTTCGAGTGCCATTCCAGCGCCTTGGCCAAGAGTTGGCAGTGTTGCATGTGCAGCACCCCCGAGGAGAGCAGTTCGCCCATTAATCCAAGTCGGCAGGAGCGGGAGCGCTCGGAGCTGCCACCGAAGAATGGGGAGATCCGCCAGTTCGAGGAGCTTCAAATATCGAGGATGAAAGCCTTTGAATTCTTCCAGCACCTAGAATGGCCATGGGTGGGCCTCTAAATTTACCTTTCAGGGCAATGCTCACCTCGTCGACGCTGGCCGGAGCACTCCAATCTAGGACTTGGTTCAATTATTTCTTCAACCATCAAATTGCTATGCCTCACCATATTTATCCTGATCTCGGTCGTCGGCATGGAGCGCGACGACGTTGACGATATTTCCGTGACGACAAGAGGATAAGAACAACATGTGGTAGCGCTGCTCGAGTGATAGCACGATCTGTAAAATGCCGGTGAGTTGTTTCGTATATATTTGAACCGCAAGATGGCTCCGTACGCGTGTTCCAGTTAATCCCTCTGAGAACCATTCCATGTCGGAAAGGCCCTTTAACTTCGCGGTGTCGAAAAGAAAGTGGAAAGTGGATGCCCGAGGATAGTGCCTTCTGTACATATCCTAGGACACTGGTGCGGATGACGGACTATTTTGTGCGAATAAGATCCGCATAAAATGAGTAAGTAATGAGTCACTCACATGAATTCCATCTGAACCAATGATGAGATCTCCGCGGTGAACTTCGCCATTTTTTAACGTCAGAGTCCCTTCAACGGGATCGCAGGACACAACTTCCTTGCCCAGATGCAGCTGTGCGGGCGGTCCGGTGCCTTCTTCCCCGATGGCAAGGCGTTTAAGTTCATCGTGGAGGTCGGATCTGTGACACAACCAGCTCGTCTAGCCAACAAGTTACGAAAGATAATCACTAGAGGCAAAACACTTACACGCCCCGTGATATTGTTCGTGACGGTTGTCCTACCTTCGCCGCCCAAGGAACTAAATCCCACAGACTTGAACCGAGTGAGATTATATGTTGAGAAGATGGGATCTAGAAACCTACCCCCAAAGACTCGACCCCCTTGAGGTTCTCTTGAGTGTATCCGAAATATTCTAGGACTCGCTGTGCATTTGTCTGGACACCAATTGCGGCTCCGATTTCCTTGTTCAGGGACGAGGTTTCGAAAATCTGGAGTTGGGTGCTTCATCACCTGTGAGAAAGTTTAAACACACAGGCACGAACCTCGACACGATGTCCTTGTCTCCGCAGTGAAACCGCGGCAGCGAGCCCGCCCCAGGCCAGCGCCAACAACAAATATGCGCAGTGGTTCAGATAGTGGTTCAGGCATGGGACTAATTCTCAACGGCATCAACGAGTTCTGTCAATGCTTTAAAGGACGACCGCGCAATGCGGCGCGACGTACCGAGTTGAACAAGGAGCTATTCCGGTAATATCCGCATGTGGTTCGACCGCTCTCTCTTTAAATATCCGGTAGAAGCGATGATAGCGGTTAACAAGGAGCTATGTGGTCATCTCTATTCTTGCTACTGTATCACTTTAAGAATAATAAATTCTCAATATTTCCGCCAGATGCCCGGCGCCGCTAATATCCGTGAGATGACCATCAGAGCAGAGGCGACCAACAATGCACTCCCTACATTTCCAACCGTAAGTCGTAGTTCAAAATTTAAAAGTAATTCGCACCAGCGAAATAACCCAGGGCCGTGTAGCTCAGTGCTGTCCTCTCAAGAAAGACTCCGCCTCTAGAGTGCCGAGACCCACTAGGGTGTTTATCGCCCCAAGTGCCCGATGTCCTCGATGCCGCCCATTTGACCGATGATGGCCCAACCCCCGGAGAAAAATCTTGGCGAAGTCAGCAGGGTCGTCCAAGCTAGCTAACAATGGAGGCAGTTTTGCCCATATAAAATGGAAGTGACGGTAATGGTTGGGATTGTTTTGCAAAAAGGCCACGCAAAGTCATAACTCCAGAGATAGATACCGTCACGATCATGACATTCATCGGTCCTACGCTCGGTGAGATTCGAACCAGACTGACTCCAACCACAGTTACCAAAATAGTCGCCTAGAATCCCTAAAATAACGCGTTCAAATCCCGCACTGAAATTCAGGACTGCTACCAGGTAGAGTGCGAACTCAGTGGAAATTCCGAACGCGATGGCACTGCTGGTTAGGTAGGTCGCCACTGGGGGGGATTGTGAAAAATTATAACCGATGAACGACTGAGCTTACTGGTGAACAATCCCAAATCCTCACACAAAGTCCTAGGTTTATTCGAGCTCTAAGGTGGGTAAAGAAGCCTTTGTCGATTAAGGAAGTCGCCCTGTACATGTAAGCCATTGCCAGACGGGTTACGAGGGTTCGACGCCCTCCAAAGGCATTTGGTGCCATGCAACCATTTTTTTTTTGTCCCACAATTCCTCGCACACCTCAATTTATCTGAGCTCTATAGTGGGTAGGCAAGCCTTTGTCGATCAATGGAAATCACCCTGTCCACGTAAGTGCGCTATTAGCAACTCGTTGAACCGGAAGAGTCCCTCCATTCTTGCATTTTGCCCCACGAATAATCCTCGCAAGGTCCCAGATTTATCTGAGCTGTACAGTAGGTAGGAAAGCCTTTGTCGATTAATGGAAATCACCCCGTCCATCCATTGAGCGTTCTTCATTGCATACCTCTCAGGGAGACGAGGGTTCGAGTCCCTCCAAAGGCATAATGAGCCCGTTCGCTCCTCTTTTTGCCCAACGAATAATCCTCACAGAATCCACAGTATATCTGATCTCTCAACTGGTTAGGCAGGCCTTTATCGATTAATGGAATTACCCTGTCCTGTTTCAGCCAGACAAGATAAATCTCAGGGCGACGAGGGTTTGACTCCATCCAAAGGCACTTGCATGTTCCTTTTGCTTTTAAGCTTTCGTCCTTGCAAAATCATCAAATTATCTCAGCGTTGAATAGGTGTAGGATGCCTTTGTCGGTTAATGGAAATCGTCCCGCCCAGATACTCGGGGTCGACAATTGTTCGCAGGGAGACAAGGGTTCGACTCCCTCCAAAGGCATAGATGATCGGTACCGAGTTATTTTTTCTCCTTCGAACCTTCCAAAGTCCAGGTTTATCCGAGCTCTGAACAGGGTGGGCAGGCCTATGTCGATTAATGGAAATCGTCCTGTCTACGTAAATATGCTAACTCGTTGAACGGGCTTGAAGACGGAGGTTCGACTCCCTCCAAAGGCATGGAATAGGTTCTGCGCTTTTTTTTCTGCTTCAAGCCCTGAACTTGCAGTGTTGTCATCGACCCGGTCAGACCGGGTCGGACCGTGTCCGGACACAGGTCGAAGAGACACTGGTCGATCACGACCTGCGATCAAAATATGTCCTAATTGGGATTGCTTCCTGAGATTCGCC